TATAAAAGCTTTTTGTCTTTGTCTGGAAGTGAAAAAAGAAATACAAATCTGTGTTTATTTTATTACAACCAAAATGACGCACATAGGAACGTCCCAGGAGGCTGTGACGGCAGCACATGTGTGATTGTGAAATCAGCATTAGGAGACACCAGCTGCGGAGGGGGAATGACTATCAGAGAGGGCCTGCCTGAAGGAAGTATATTCCACAGAAACGTCATATGTAAAAATGCTGTAAAAACATACAAACTCAAAGAGAGCATTAGAAAAACCTTGAAACTGTACATAAACCTCAGGGCAGTCTTGGTTATCTGAAAAAAATCTGTTTACCTAAAACTCACCACAGTCACAGCCTTCGACCAAAACCATTAATGATTTAACACCTCAGAATACATGTACACAATCTCACACACAGCAACACAAACCCACACCTAACACCTGGGGCCACAAGCACAAGCAAACCACACAACCAGAAACAGCTGTGTTCCTCCTCAAACCGACAGGGACAAATTAACCAGCCTCCCTCTGAAAGAGAGCCTATGCAGACGACAGCGAAAGAGGATGTGGTGAACGGAGCAGAGGTGTTAAAGCACCGATGAAAAGGATAGTAATGGGAAAGCTTTGCTGCACCGTAATTACTCTTATCTAACGTGGCTTGATTAAACGCAAAGACTTCATGAGATATGACTGTACAATCTTCTGCACAAAACAGCCCATTTCCTATTTCACAGACTCTTTTTGTGTCTGTCTGCTCGTCTCCAGCTCAGCTATGTGTCCCCATGAGGATGTGCTTGAATTCATTTTATTGATTTATGGTTGTCTCCCAAAAGATGCCTAAAAATCTCAAGGATGAATGGAGCATCCTTATGTGAGGGAACCAAATCTAGTGGTTGCTTGACACATTGAGACTGCGGCTTATCATTAGCGTATTGGAAAGGGAGACATGAAAAATAGATGAAGAGATGACATGGTAGACAGTGAACCATCATACTTGGGTGTTGTGCATGGGTTTGTGGCACATGTCTACAGAGTGTATAAAGTGGCAATGTGATTGGTTACTGGCTCAAGTCAAAAGAGGCCACTCCCAAGTCTCTAATATTCTGGTTCCTAGATGTTTTTCCCATTTTATCATAAAACAGGTGAAAATCATAGAAACCTACATACACTACTGTTTATAAGGCCACTGTTTAAGTCAGTATTTTTTTTTGTAAGAAATTAATACTTTTATTCAGCAGGAATACATTAAATTGATTAAAAGGGACAGTAAAGACACTTATAAAGTACAAAAGATTTATATTTCAAAATGCTGCTCTTTTGAACTTTATATTAATCAAATAATCTTTAAAAAATGTATAACAGTTTTCACCATTGATAATAATAAAATAATTATAATAATAAAATAAATGTTTCTTGAGCAGAAAACCAGCATACTAGAATGATTTCTGAAAAATCATGTGACTGGAAAAATGGCTGATGAAAATGTAGCTTTGCCATAACGGGAATAAATTAAGTTTTAAAATATA